CCCGCTGATCAGCTGTTTGCATCGCTGTCTTGTGAAGCTTAGGTCCCGAAAACACCTGTTTTGCAAGCACGGAGGGAGCTGTCAAAATTGTCATCTAGCGAAAATCGGTTTGCGAAGCAGGGACCAAACATTGTCCAGCGAAATTCCCCCATAGGAATCACTGTTTTGCGAATCGCTATAGCGATCACAAAGTCAATGTCTAGTGAAAAAACTGTCATTCGGGGTGCCTGTCTAGCGAGGCACCACTGTACCTTATTTTCTCTGCGACAAGCTAACTTAGGTACCCTCTCTGCACTCTTGCCCAAAGATCTTCTTCTCTCTCATATGAACATGCCAAACACCTGCACATGGCTTCTCTCATCACTGTTTTGTGAATCGCTATAGCTAACTTAGTTACCATCTCTGCACTCTTGCCCAAAGATCTCTTTCTCTCTCATATGAGCATGCCAAACACCTGCACATGGCTTCTCTCTGAGCAAATAGGAAAAGTGATTAATGTCCATTTTTATTTTTTCCGTATCAGTTTTCCTTTGGAATCAATGTGAAGATGCTTTAGATTTCATCCCTATGTGAGATCTGATTGTTATATGTTCGGGACCATAAATCAAATTCTATCATGAATTGAGATGATGGATTTTAAAAATACAGAATTTGATCTCCGGTCTAGGCTCTCTATCTATCTATCTCTCTCTTCGAAATTTCAAGGGTAAGAGAGGAAATTCATACATTTCATTTTTTTAAATTATATACACATGTAGTTAATCACTGTTTTAAAATATGTTGTTCCTTTTCTATGTGCATACATACTGAAATAAAGTGATTTTCTCCAGAATAAGAAAACCAAGGCAGCCACTTAGGTTTAAGAATAAAAATCAGAATTCCAAAATCAACTGCTGTTACTTAAACATTTGTTTTTATTTTGTTTTAGTCGACTTGGGCAGTGTGAATTACTCTGCAATAAAAATTCATATGAAAATATCTAAATGAATAAGGATAGGAAGATTTATTTTTCAGAGCTAAAAGGCTTTCTCCTTTTCAAGTGAACCCATATGCCTTTAGTGGGACGCAGAATCAGTTCTGCTCTGGGTCTGAGCTCTTCGTGCGTTTGTGTAGTTCCAACTGAAAAATTCCGCAGGACAGTTGCTAGAATGGTCTTTTCTTCCATTTGTGCAAAACGTTGACCTGCACATGAGTAGAAAAGCAATGGCAGTTACAAATTAATCACAGCAATCATAAATATTTATTACTCAAGTTGAAGTACATGCATTGCCTGATAAGGTTCTCAGAATCATTTAAAAATTATTAAACTGGCTTCTATTATTATACAGAAGTTGAACCAGAGCCACTAAGCTAAGGTTGGGAATTACAACCATGGGAAATTATTATTGTTGTTAAATATTGTTAAATATTTCATATACCTTAAAAGCTCTATTAGAGTTTCTATAAGTCGGTCCTGACACTATAGTGCCTAACACATATGCAGTATGGGAACTGTAGCAAAATCTTCTTTTGAAATATCTTACAGAATAACGGAACCTATAGGCCTCATGCAATTAGAAGAATTAAAGGGTGGGGAGGCATGCTCTAGCACCACTCCCTCCAGTATCACTCTCCTCGTGTAAGGAGTGACTTTCAGAAAACAAGAGCCTGGAGGTTCCCACAACACAGCATGCTAATTTTCCAGGACTTCGGATTGTGCACAATTGACAGAAACAATAGGCTCTCCTCTTAAGGTAAGGAGAGAGGCAGTAACAAAGTGTTGTTGGGCTAGAACATCCTCTCTCCCCGCCCTTGTTTATTTTGCCAACTTTTTCCAATGTCTGAACAAGACAAGAGTTCCTTGGATTTCCAAGAGGATATAGATCTTTGAGTCTTGTACACACCAATGCAGTTCCTGGGGCCCGCAGAGAAAGGCACATAAGCGTATGGGTGCCGCCCAGCTGCATTCTCGGGGAAAAACCGCTCAGGTCTGAATTCCTCAGGCTCTGGGTAAGTGTCAGGGTCTCTATGCAGTGCAAGAGGTGCAATTATGACATCTATGCCTTTGGGTATCTTAAATCCTCCTGCCAAAGAAAAACAAAGGTGTGTGAAAGAAGGTTCTCAAAATACTAACTCCATTAGAACAGGGCTTATTCTGCCCACAATAAACCAATGTATCAATTTGATTGACCAACTTACTGATAGAGACATCCTCACGCAGACTGCGAGCAAAATAGGGAACAGAAGGATAAAGGCGAAGAGCTTCTTTTATAACACATTCCAGATATCGTAGTTTCTTCAAATCATCCATGGTTATGTGTCGGTTGGAGTCTCCTAATCGAAAAACAAAAGGCAGTGAGAGAAAACATGCATAGATTGAAACTAAGAAAGCATACCTCTTCAACTTGACATTCTGATTGTTTTTTTATTTTTATTTTTGTTGTTGTTGTTGTTGTTTTTGACAAATGATGGAAGGAGGAATCTGGACTTTAGCCCAGTTACTGATGTGTACTAGAAGTTGCAGATCAATGCACCTTCCTAAACCAAAGGTTTTTTTGTTTTTTTTGACAAATGATGGAAGGAGGAATCTGGACTTTAGCCCAGTTACTGATGTGTACTAGAAGTTGCAGATCAATGCACCTTCCTAAACCAAAGTTCATGATTACCAATTATTTTATTTATTTTATGTCTTCAATGCAAATAACTGCTCTTTACCAAGCAGGTTACATAAAAGTAATATTATAGTCCCTGCCCTCATGCTGACAACCTAAAATTGAAGACTTGACACACATGGAATAAGAGAACTGGAGTGGAAAAATGAAGTTTCCGTCTTCAAACGTTTTTTATGATAAAGAACAGCCATTTGCTTGGCTAATGGACCGTGAAATGGCTTAAGCTGCAGCAATAATTGCTATATGATAACATATTGCTGGTTACATTCCTGGGTGCACACCACCAAGTGCTATCCAGACTTACACAACTGATCTTACACAAACGTAAATCAAAAACAGGATTCTGGCCAATCAATTTTCTATTTCATTACTTAATTTCATCTGGATAGAATGGCAAGGCAACTTACTGACATAGCTGCTCCTAGTTGGCACCTAAGGGAGAAGACAGATATCTTTCTGGCCCCTGGCTGGTCTCCTCACAGTTGCATTGGCTGAAATCCTGTTGTGCAGCTCCACATATGTATCTTGAAGTTACACAAACAGTAGGAAAAACAGCACCAAGCCAAAACTTATATTCATGAAGGACTTCCGTAAGTTTGCTGTGTAGCAGTCACACTGTGAGTTTTGTGGTTTGTTGTGCAATCAATTGTGCAATGTGGATTTCCTGAGCATAATGCCCCGCACACTGCCACAGGTGTAACTTTTTATTACAACTTCAACAGGATTTCAGAAACTGTGTGTCAGCCGTCTTTTGATAACATAATTTCTCGATCTGTTGTGCAAACTAATTGCTGCTCTTTGCACTTGCTTCTGTGATGTGCAGACAAAGCAATGATAAGGTAATGCACTGGCTAACCATATATCAGCTTCTCCTTTCATTGGAAGGAAATCTGATCACATTCAAGCAGAAAAGGTCACTGCACAGTCTGAGTTCCATCTCTTGCCTTAACAATAGCTTAAAGGAAGATGCCAGCAGCTACATAAAGGCTACTATTGGATCAGACTCAGTATATGTGAAGTGTTCACATCAGAGCTGGCTAGGAAAAAAGAATGTGTTTAGGTTTTTTATATTGGAAATTGTATGCAGGCCTCTGATAGCTGCTCTTTCCTAGAGAAGTGAACTAATGGGAACAATACTGCTGGGCAAAGGGACAAGATGCCTATGGATCTTTCTTTGATCATATTTGCACAAGGCTAGTTGCGAGATTTTTATAAATACATAAAATAATTGCAAGTCTTTCCTAGAGGCCTTTACCTAAGGGCTTCTTGTTGAAGGCATTGAGTAGCATTGAGTAACACAGACATATATGTGAATATCATCACATATATGCCTAGAGAACAGAAAAATTTACCAAAAACTTCATCCAATTCATCATGAACTTGCTTTTGGATTTCTGGATGACATGCAAGTAGATACATTGTCCAACTCATGGCAGCAGCAGTAGTATCATGACCCTAGGAGAAGAGATGTAAAAGTATAGTATTTTATCACAAAAACTAGGACTGTTGCCTTGTTATATTTATAATACATCTATAATACATTGTTTATAATATATTTATAATACATATATTTATAATACATTCAAAATCCTGAAGAAATACTTCAATTCTTTGTTACTAGCACTATCTATCTATCTATCTGTCTCTCTATCTGTCTGTCTATCTATCTGTCTCTCTATCTGTCTGTCTCTCTATCTGTCTGTCTATCTATCTGTCTCTCTATCTGTCTGTCTCTCTATCTGTCTGTCTATCTATCTGTCTCTCTATCTGTCTGTCTCTCTATCTGTCTGTCTATCTATCTGTCTCTCTATCTGTCTGTCTCTCTATCTGTCTGTCTATCTATCTGTCTCTCTATCTGTCTGTCTCTCTATCTGTCTGTCTATCTATCTGTCTCTCTATCTGTCTGTCTCTCTATCTGTCTGTCTATCTATCTGTCTCTCTATCTGTCTGTCTCTCTATCTGTCTGTCTATCTATCTGTCTCTCTATCTGTCTGTCTCTCTATCTGTCTGTCTATCTATCTGTCTCTCTATCTGTCTGTCTCTCTATCTGTCTGTCTATCTATCTGTCTCTCTATCTGTCTGTCTCTCTATCTGTCTGTCTATCTATCTGTCTCTCTATCTGTCTGTCTCTCTATCTGTCTGTCTATCTGTCTGTCTATCTATCTATCTATCTATCTATCTATCTAACTATCTATCTATCTATCT